CCAGCAATTAGGCACCCAAACCCTAGTGCCTGGGTGCTAGGCTTCTGATGCCATACTTCCAAGCTCTCTAGTTAGGGGTTGTTTTTGGTGTTTTTAAGCTCTTAAGGGTCTGGAATTGGCGCCTAAGCGCTTGGTCTGAAGCCCATGAGCCAGGGATATGGTGCCAAACTTTTGAACTCTTAGTTTAGATTTCTAGGAAGGTGTTTTAGGTGCCTAGGTGGGGTCAGTCTCGGGGCATCGACTTAGCCCGAAACCCAGATTTTCACTGGGAGTGCTCAACGGAGGATTTTCTCGATTGCTAAGCTACGAAAGGCTCCATAAGAGTGAAATATAATCCCATAAATCCAAAAAGAATATTCTCGTCGGTCATTAATTGAGAAAATCACTGTCAATGGTCGTTCTAAGTCACATCATGGGTAGGGTGTCCCAAACCCTAACTTTCCCGCAGCGGGCGAAGATGAACTCCATGTCTTCCTTTGACCATGGGAGGCTCCAGATGGACATGTGATGACTTATAAACGCCAGAATGAGCCCTAAACATGTCTCATGTCTTGAATGTGCCCTCTCAAAGGAAGTTTCTCCTGGGCAAAGCTATATCACGCCAACCCTAGTTCTTTGACTATAACAAGTGCTAGAGAGTCTTGGTGGGTGGCTTGAGCTATCGGATGCTACGTACGGACTGTAGACCATTAAACTCATGTAGGTGGATACCCTACACTCTTGACATAAAAAATGATTGCAACATATCGGGAGGGGGTAAAGAAGAGTTATGCACTTGTTTGTACCAATATTTTTATTTTACTTTCACATTCATTGTTCCAGTGATCTATTTTAGCGGAGAACTTCTTAAGCACATGAAAAACTCTTAAATTTCTTTGTTGTTAGCATAGAACATTCTGAATTTGATAACTTAGGATTATATTTTTGGATAGTAACTAAATCATCGATTTCCAAGCCATCCTTAATAACTGTAAAGTAGAGCTTTTTCTTAATTGGTTTTACTTTATTTCTTGTGGGATCGACAACCGGGTTCCTACTCGGTACTACTAATACACCACATATACTTGCGTGAGTGCTAGTGCTGCACCGCACTTGAAGCGTATCAGATGTAGTCATTTGAGCCAAGGATGAAGGCTAACCAGTCAGAAGAAGAACAAAAAGAACAATCTGAGTTTGAGCCGTTCATACTATAGCAAGCCAGATAAGCACTCGAGCTAAGAAGTTGAGCAAAAGCATTGACCTATCTCTCGGTAGATCCGACCTGAGGAAAGAATCCAATTCCCCGCAATCACCAACCATTCAATGGATGCCCTCGAGGTTCCTCATCAGGGACCAAAAATTGGCAACGAAACTAAGTTTCATAGTAATCCAGAAGGATCTTCTTATCAGATGAATGAACTATCTATCGGGTTACAGATATCCACCTTCTATTAGATAGTCTAGCCTCGTTCTGCCCATCTTGGGATCAAGGGTAGCAATGTCTAGTTGACCAGAAGATATTCAAGATTAGCCGACCGATTGTACAACTCAGTCCAACCAACTGAATCGGCCTTAACTAGTCGAAGTCATGCTAGCTGATCAAACAATTTTAAGTTATATGACAGCCGAGCAATATGCTCATACATATAAAATATCTTATACAACGCCCATTAAAGCAGGGGCAAAAATATAATATCATATATTGTAATCTCTCATCTATGAATAAGGAGATCATTTTATTAGAAAGAGCTAATAGACAAGACGTTTTACAATTCATTACTATTAATTCCTCTCTTCGTTTCTTTCTCTCTCATTACTTACGTTCTAAACTTTGGGTGTATTTCACGCGCAAATCAGAATTCAACAATAAGTATATCCCAAATTTTATAAATAGTTATTCATTTTTGTATGCATATCATACAATCTTTATGTATTTAAGTATCTCATATCTAAAATTGGATATATATACAACAATTTATTGTCACAAACATGATAAAATATGCGCATGAAAATGTGCCTTCCACTTTTAAAAATTTCATACTAGTGGTATTTTGAATTTGATGTTAAAATTTTGGGTGTTGTATATGAATATTAATTTCTAAAGTATAAGCTATGTAAATATATAAAAGTTGAGTGGTGTGAATGCAAATCTTTCTTTAAGAAAAAAATTAGAATGAACTCCCGCATAAGAGAAAAATTATTGTGTACATACACCGCATGCAGAGATACATGCAGTGTTCGATAGTGTTCGATCCTGACCGTATATCACGATGATTTACGATCAGGATGTATTTCAGTGGGTCCCACTTTATTTTTTTTCCTAAAAAAAATTTGATTGCATCATGACCGTAGATCACCACATGCAGTGTTCGATACTGACCGTAGATCACGGTGATTTACGATCAGGATGTGTTTCAGTGGGTCCCATTTTATTTTTTTTCCTAAAAAAAAATTGATTGCATCATGACCGTAGATCACCGTGATCTACGATCAGGATCGGATACCGCATGCATCTCTGCATGCGGTATATGTATGGAATAATTTTTCCATAGAAAGTGTGGGATATATTAAAAAAGTGTGGCGTATAAAAGGAAAATGATTTTTGAAGTGGAAGTTAATATTTTCTATGGCATGTAAATATAAAAAATGATAATTGATTTGGGAGTTTGTGAAGATATTTTTCTCTTTTTTTAATTTTCAGTCGCTGGCTTCATTGAATCTTATTACTAATCCCTAAAGAAAATACTTTTGAAATCATTTTATTAATCTATTACTGTTGTCAAGATTTATAAAATATTATCCTTTTACCCATGCTATTTACATATATACCTCTTAAACTCTTTTATTTGCATATCTAA